CAAACCACCCATGAACTCAATTAGAAACCAGCTTTATCGGTTGAAGGATCAATCCTGTGAAGTCTTTAAAACAAAACAATTCAGTTTGTCGAATACCCCGGCCGTGATGATTTCCAGGTCAAATACACTGTTCACAGTATTAGAACAGGGGCAGTCTGTCAGACTAGTCAAGCATAAATACCTAGCAGCAAAATTTAAATTAGTTGACCTGAATAAGGTAATAAGAGATGTGGAGAATAGTTCAGCTATACCACTCACCACATGCAATCACGCACAAACACGCAAGCATACAATAGGATGAATGGGATAGGATGACAGTTTTCAAATCTAATGTAACAGTTGGGTGGAGAAAGAAACTGATAACAACAACGGAAGCTTTGTTGATGGAATCAACTGCAAACACTTGTACTAGGAATGATACAACACCTGTCCTCCAGGATATCTGGAAAATTCTACTACTTCAATGACGACAAATAAGACAGAACTAAGGAAACTTTGGAACTCAAGTTTCGAAGTCATGTGATGATGACCGATATGATTACGAACAATATTGGAGTATGTTCGAAACGTTGCCATCCATTAAATAATAGTTTTTCTCTGTGTGTAATATATGTTTTAAACAAACTAACATGGATATTTTGATTGGACAATAGTAACTAGTGTGACGTTTCTAGACCTTTCTTTGGTGCAGACTGTCAGTCAGTCAGGTTTGCAATGTGGCCATTAATCTAGGTAGCTGAACATCACAGTGCACATTGATTTGATGATATTAGATGGTTGGAGGCAATCGGCAGAAAGCCTTGGACCTAGGTTTCGCGCTAGTTGGCACTCACCAGACAGCAAGGCGTATTTGCAACCTTGAATCTGCAAAGTGGAATTACTCACACTACCACAGTGTCTAAGTTTTACACACATATATAATAATATGCTACCTGGATAGATGATGGAAGTGATGTATTTCAAATTCCTCCGTTAAATACTGATTGATGTTTGTTATTGTTGTTGCTGGAGGTTGTGTAGTTCGGTTGTCTTCATTGTTCTAGATCTAATCACTTGTAATATTTGTCTTTACTGTATGAATAATTGCCTAATTTCTGATTATATCAATTTCTTGTTCAACCAAAAAGGTGTTATACAGATAGGAAAACTGTCTGATCATCGTGAGGCACTGAGACAAATTAAAGTATTCTCTGCTGTACACAAAGATTGTGAGGTAGAAATAATCAATACAGGTGAGTATTGCAAATCTGTTAGTTTTTCAGTTCCTCTTTTTTTGCATCCTAGGTGGAGTATATGACTTCAAGTATTATGCTTTGAAGTTCCAGGAAGTAGTGGCAGTGTTGTTTTTCCATGGGTTATGACTGCTAGCTTCCCACCCAATCTTCCATTTCTACTAAGCGTATTACTGGCTAGACGTTTAAGAGTGCATCAGTTAGGTGGGTGTTGAACACCGGACCAATGGCGTGGCTGGCAAGCATTCTGCCACTAAATCACCAAATGCAGCTTGACTAATCGAAGTGTAGCTGGTCTGCCACTGAGTTCATCAGAATCGAACAATACTCCTGAATAAAGTGAATATCAAGTCTAATAAACTGTTTTTGCAGCTATTTCATAAGTCCTAAGTTATACGAGTCTGCCTTGTAACCAGAAGGTCCTTTGTTCGAACCCTCCTGTGCGTACTGCCGATGACTCCCAAAGTAGGATGAAACAGCTGTCCAGTATTCCGTGTGGGCTGTTTTTCACTGGTTCTCTAATTGATATCATTCGTAGGTCAAACTCGTAAAGATAAGTTATAAGATTATCTGAGATACTAGAAAATTGTTAAGAAACAAATGAAATATGCAAAAAAGATTGTGAGTGAAGCTCATCCATTTAGCTGTTAGACATAACTGGTGATGTAAATGACTGAAAGTGAGAACACATCGACGTTTATACTTAATAAAAGGAAATGTTATCCACCGAAGTCCACGATTCAAGTGACTAGAGTAGAGAAAACACCACTATAGCCTTTTATAGCGATGACCTGTTGTTATGTACTAGCTGAGTGGTTAATAGAGTTTTCCCCGTCGCCAAATATGTTATGTACTCGTCGAGTAGTTAATAGTCCTGATGCGGAAAGAGGGCAATCAGAAGACCACCAGGTTTACGATGATATTTGTATTTTCCAGACAAGGAAAACAAATGTGACACAAGTGTGTGAGTGGAATGGATCTTAGATGTACGAACGTGGGAAACAACAAGGATATATTACAAGAGGAATAAAGCAAGAGTATGTATGAAAATGGCTAATACACATGAACCAATAAGATAACGTCTTACTATGATTGGTTGTAATGTCATATGATAATAAGGTCATACATGTTTATTTAGTTAGTGGACAGACAAAAGCATAATGTCAGTTATAATGGAATATCGATCCATATACACATAGCAAAATATAACAGACTGTCAAAACCAGAACACACACATCATGTGGGTACATATCACCTGTGCCATCTTCAAGAAGCTAAAGCTGTTAGATAGTTGAAGGCAATCAGCCACAGGAAGCCTTGTTTGACCTGAGTTTCCCGCTAGTTGGCACTCACCAGTCAGTCAGCAAGGTATAAGAGCAGTCACCTTAAAGGAACTCATGTCCCTCCTTCTGAGATTCAAACCCGTGTCACCCAGTGAGTGCTGCAGTCAGAGACGTTTGTTATTTTATTATATTGAGGTCAATGAAGATATTGTATATCATTTAGCTTTTGTGTTACGGCACTATACTTTACAAACTTTGAGGTATAGGTTCAGAAGATTTAAAATAGTCTCTTCTTTATATTCTTCTAAAAGCCAAGTTAAACTTTAAGCACCACTAACTACCAATCAACGAATGACCTCGAATGTTCCAATGAGGTTCATGCACACGAGCTCAAGGTTCTATAGCGCTTGATTCGTATCAAATGAAGTTACGTTTGCTGTTAGATGAGGACAAGGTTTTGCAGTATTGCCTGGATTTGAGATTGCTTAGCAAGAAGAGTCATCACCCCATGGAAAATGGAGAGAATTACTTCGTTGTTAGGCGTAGAAGGTATCGTCGTACACGTGGACGAAACTGTGTTACTGAAGAAAAAATATAACCATGGTCGTGAGCAAGCCAACAATGTTTGGGTGATGGTTTATATGACACCTTCCTGTGGAAAGGATTCATGCAGAGAATCCTAGACAGAAAGTCTGCTACCTTAGTACCTATTGTCACTCCACCTGTGAAACAGGGATCCATTGTATTTACTGATGAGTGGAAAGGTTACAACTCGCCGTCATCTCTTGGATATATTCATCACAGAGTGAACCATTCTAGGGATTTTGTAGATCCAATTACAGAGACACACACGAATTCTATAGGAAGATTTTGGGGAAGACTAGAAAATAGGATTAGGGCTATAAATGGATCTCATTTAAAGTCATTTAAATGAATATATGTAAAGAATGTGGCGTAACTTTTCTATTGACTCTCCTAAGCTAAACTGGGAGATGTTTCTGTATGCTTTTTTTCCCATAAATATACGTTTTCTTAAATCAAAAGTCCCTCCTTTTTATGATTGGTCCGTTGAAGGTCGTTCACTGATTGGTAGTTACTGGTGCTAAAAGTTTAAATTTAGCAGGCACCCATAAATTGATAGTTAAAGTTCCAATTATGGAATCGTCTTTTGAACTTAAATACTTTTACATCTCTAACAAAACATGATAAACATCTTGATTGGATTTTAGTCAAATTTGCATAACAGAGTCAGCATCAGATAATGCAAATAAGATCACGGAAGGATATCAGTTAAAGAATAGTTGAAAACCAGAGAATAATTCACTCTTTGAAATTAAGCACTTGTCGTCATACACATACTGCTGTATGTACCATGAATCTGCAGAATCTAGAATATTTTGGTCATCCGACTGCAATTTGGTGGCTTGAGAGTTATCAAGTTCTCCTTAATAACCTTAAGATCCTGAGTTTAGTTCTCAAAGCGGTTATGCATAAAAATAGATGAACGATCTGAAAATGGGATAAATCAGCTAGCTGTTCAGTATCCCGTACTTCACAGTGATCAAATAATCCACTTGCAGAGTAAAAATAAATATTCAAGAGTTTGTTGTTTTCAAGTTTTACAATGGATTGATAACAGTTAGAGAACCATTGTAAAACCAGCCAACACGGAGTACTGGACAGCCAGCTGTTTCATCAGCCTAGTTTGGGAATCATCGGTAGTACGCACCCACCCGACACAGCAAGTTCAAACCCAGGACCTTCCAGTTACAAGACAAGCTGGCTCGTATACCATTGAGTGACTGGGATCCGACTCAATGGCCAGCCAGTCCATGAATTCTAACTTCTACCAGTTCTTGATTTAGTGTGACTGGCGCCAACCAATGACCACACTAGGATGAAAGAGCTGTCCAGTACTCCAGTGATGGTTTTCAATAGTTCCCTAACTGATATCAATCCGCGATCGATTCAAACGAATTATAGTTAGTAAATCTGATGCTTGTTAGTGACTGACTTGCTAGAGGACGGAGTTTCCTGCAGTTCCAGTGAGATCTATCCAGTCACGTGTGACGTTACATAGTGCCAGTCGCGCTAAATCACGAATAGGTAGAAGTTAGAATTCATGGACTGGCTGGCCATTGAACTGATTCCCAATCGCTGAATGGTATACGAGCCAGCTTGTCTTGTAACTGGAAAGTCCTGGGTTCGCACCTGGTGTTTTGGGTGAGTGGATAGTGCCGATGATTCCCAAACTAGGCTGATGAAACAGCTGGCTGTCCAGTACTCCGCGTGGGACGGTTTTCAATGGTTCTCTAAGTGATATTAATCCGTGGTAAAACTTGTAAAAAAAGTGAAAAAATTATAACACTAGATGACTTAGGAACTTCGCATGCACTTCAGTACTCTTCAGATTCATATTATGCATTTAATAAAGTATACATAATATAGTTAATCTTAACAATTGTATTACATTATTGATTTTTAGAGAAATTTCTAGCTGTTAAATGGAATAATCTAAGCATTTATGACTCAAATGGTAAAGAAATGTTGGATCGAGGTATGTGTACGAGCTTTTTGTTTTTATATTGTTGCATATATATATAATGCTGATATTATTGTGTCCACTGAACAATATGTAACTGAGAAAATGATAACAAAAGCTTGAATACGATAACTTTATGATATCTGAGATGTTTTACAAACGTTCCAGCAGACGTTATACACTCAGGATAAGTTATACACTGACGAAAATGTACACCAGCATTGTAGCAGGATGTAGTTTTGTGGTGCATGTTACAATGATGAAGTATTATTTAGAGGATTCTCTTCCTTGTTTACTATCAATGACTTCGTTTATTTAAATTTTTAGGGGAATATCTAGGGCGTCAAATTGTTGTGAATTTCAATAGCAGTGGTATCCTTTCTACATAATGGGATTGTTAGTCTTACAGTCTTTTTCGGTCTAACTAGTGTTTAGGCAAGGTTAGGGTTTCAACCGGGGCTACGTGTATTGCTGTTAAGTTTTCTTCTATTGAACCCTCATTGAAACTTAAAAGTAAACTAGAATTTTACAATATCCTCAATCGATCCTAATTCTTCTACATGAGGTTATTGTACACTGTCAAATGATTGATAATAAGCAGGAGTAGACTATTGAATATGATGGATCTGTGAATGATAAAAGCAGCATATATAACACAATCAACAGATTTCTTCGCTCAATACTTCGCCGACCTGGATGAAAAACTTCACCTGGATTCAGGAGAAACAAGTTATGCATTGATCAAATCGCAACACTAATAAGGATAAGCATTGAACAGAGCTCGGAATGGCAGTCACCTGTCTATCTCAACTTCATCGATTCTGAAAAGATGTTCAAAAGCGTTGATCGACAGGTGATTTGGAAACTACTTCGCTACTACGGAGTGTCGCCGACAATTATGCATCTCAGCAAAAGTTGTACGACAATGCTGCATCCCAAGTAATTCACAACGGGAAACTGACAGAATCCCTAGAATAAGTGAAGACGGGAGTAAGACAAAGCTGTCTGGCTGCCTACTACCTCCAATGATTTTCCTGATTGTAGGCGGTAGACTGAATAATGCGACAGACAGTGATGGGCGACGAGGGAACAGGCGTAAAATGGACCGACACAAAAAACTTGGAGGGCCTGGACTTCGCTGATGATGTACGCCTGATTTCCCACAAACTGGAAGATATGCAAGTGGAAAGCAACAAGTTGACAGAAGAAGCATCAAAGGTAAGATTTCGGGTGAACATAGAGAAAACAGAAGTGGTGAGGATTCCTGGCCAACAGCAGCAGCAACAACAGCACGGATGGGAGAAATCTGAAGAAGTAACCTCCTTCACCTACCTACCTACACACCGACCTGGGAAGTATCGTTTCATCTGCAGGCGGACGGAACTGAATTGGATATAAAAGCGAGGATCATGAAAGCAGGACAAGCTTATATTAATCTCAAATCTGTGTGGAGATCAACAGCACTAATCAGCATGAAAAATTAGATCCGGATTTTCAACTCCAATTTAAAGTCAGTGCTAGTCACTATGAGGATCAGAGACTTGGCGTCGCACCGCGTCACGAAAGGCACTTCTAACAAACTACACACTTTCATCAACAGCTGTCTTCACTCAATACTTCAATCAAGAGGAGGTCATGTGAAGGGAAGATGAACGCATGTGGGCAGTCGGGGAGCCAGGTGAAAACGCTGGCAGAGAACCGAACGCAATGGAAACGTACTGATGAAGACCTATGTTCCTGTAGGGATCAAAAGGAACAGTGAATAATAGAAAATAATAATAAATGGCGGAAATCGACAGATTTAGCTCTTAATGATTTAGCTCTATCTAACAACTGTTGGTGGACTTCGAGGCCATGGATTTTCACATAGGAACGAAAGCAATGAATGTCTACTAGGAGCTTCCTTTCATGCAGTACCATTCGACGTTCGTGCAGAGAGAAGTGCTGACTTGTTGCCGGTGGACACAACTACAGAAACGAAATTATCCAAATGAGCATTGTCACTTATTTGCGTTGAAGCTTCAACCATGATTTCCTACTTCGTCAGATAAAGAAGCCAATGGCAATAATAGTCTCCGTAGCACCAGACAGGATCATCATTGAAACCAGTGGTTAAAATCCAGTCGTGGAAATGGTGGTCTCTGTGAAGAATAACACTGTGATGATCTCGAAGAACACATTACTCGGATGTTGGAGATAAGACTTTGACGAGCACTTCTACTCACCTATAACCGCAATACACTTTACCAGCACACCATTCCCACCTGAGCGGAATGTGGACATCAGTATTCAGAATTGCATTGAGGTTACAAAATTTGGCATCTTTTCAGAAAGAAACAAACCAGTAGGACCTACTGAAATTTGTCCAAGTGTTGTTTGTTTCGGTCACGACAAACTACTGACTGAGCTACTTGAGAAATGAGTAATTCAGTGTTAGTGTGAGATAACTCCACCAAACTGATGTGAGTCAGTGATTACTCTGAAGGATAAGTAATCCACTGAAAATCATGAGAGAATTCGTTTGAGTAAAATACCAACTGAAATTCTAGGTGGAATAAAGATGCATGGAGAATGTCACGGAGAACTGAACCCAGCGGACAAGTGCAGCCGAAGCCTTATGTTCCTCTAGGAATTAAAGGAAACAATAATGATATCAGATAACCAAATCTCTATCCGGGGAAGAGATCAACACAAGCGAAACCTATAAAAGACAGACAAGGGAACCCAATCACCAAGGAAGAAAAACAGATTAAACAATGGGTGGATCACTTCAAAGGACTCTTGAACCGACCATCACCTGCAACCCGTCCAGAAATACCAACAACAGCACGTACACAACTGCAAGTTGACACCAATCCTCCAACGAGAGCTGAAGTCTTGAATACAATCAAGCCTCTGAAGGCTGAAAAAGCAGCTGGACCAGATGGAATACACCCTGAAGCACTGAAAGCGGACCCAGAGACGACAGCAAACATTCTGACTCCACTATAGCAAAAGGTCTGGAAGGAGGAAAAGGTGCCTACTAACTGGAGGAAAGATTACCTCGTGAAACTACCAAAGAAGGGCGAATTAGGCCCCACTCTGCAAGAAATGGTGAGGAATCATGCTCCTATCAACTCCAAGTAAAATCCTGAGTCGTATCATCCTGGAGAGAATATAGGACGCACTGGAGACAGAACTCCGACCAGAACAAGCTGGATTCAGGAAAGTCAGGCAAATCATGTTCTGACCAAATTGCAACTCTACGCATCATTATCACAGAACAAAGCATAGAATGGCAATCAAACCTCTACCTCAACATTATAAATTTTGAAAAGGCCTTGGACAGCGTTGACCACGAAGTAATTTGGAAATTACTCGAGTACTATGGCGTACAGTGCCCCAAATATTCATCATCAACCATATCTAACAGCTGGTTGTGTGACAACAACACATGTCAAGTGATCCACAACGGAAAACTCAGAGAGGCGTTTGGAGTATAAACAGAAGTCAGACAAGGGTGCTTATTATCATCCACGATGATATTCATAATTGTGATCGACTGACTGGATTATGCGTCAGAGAGTGAGTGGGAAACGAGAAGACAGGGATAGATATCCTGGACCGACCGACGTGAAGAACCTAGAAGACCTGGATTTCGCGCGTGGATGATTGATGATGTTTGATGTCACACACAATCGAAGACTTACAAGCGAAAACCGACAAACCGGTCGAGGAAGCAGCCAGTGAAGACAGGACTCCAAGTGAACACAGACAAGACGGACGTTATGAAAATAACCAACCAACAACAGCAACAACATCCAACGTCAATCACCATCAACGGGAGGGATTTGAAAGAGGTTACTTCATTCACTATTCTAGGGAGCATTGTCTCAACTACAGGAGGAGCGGACGAGGATGTCAAATCGAGCGAGAATCGGGAAGGCGAGAAACACATTCATCAACCTGAAATCAATCTGGAAATCTTCATCACTCAGCATCAACAACAAAATTCGGATTTTCAACACAAACGTAAAGTCAGTTCTTCTATACGGATCAGAAACTTGGCGGGCGGGTCACAAAGAATATTTCGAAAAGGTTGCAGGCCTATATTAACAATTGTCTTCGCTTTATACTGAAGATCAGATGGCCGAGCCGGAATGAATCACCAACAAGGAATTATGGGAACAAACAAAGCAAGAACCAATCGCCCAACAAATATGCAGGAGAAAGTGGAGATGGATCAGACACTCGCTGAGCAGGAGACCGCTGGGTGACATCGCACGCCAAGCCCTCGAGTGGAACTCGAAAGGGAAGCGACGTGTGGGACGTCCAAGGGTGACATGGAGGAGATCGTGTGAAGAGGAGTTGAAAGAATATGGATTAACATGGATGCAGGTGAAAAGTATAGCAGAAGACAGAAGAAAATGGAGACGTGCAGTTGAAGCCCTATGTTCCACTAGGAACCCAAGGGAACAATAATAAAAAAAATAATAATGATAATAATAGTATACCACAGTCTAGTTGACCTTATTTCAGTTGATTGAAAGGGATTGATTGATCGATGTCAAACCATAGTAATCTTATAATTTATGATATGATATGAATTCACCTTTCTCTTTTGGTTGGTTATAATTTTAGCACAAATTCTCTGTGTTCTTCATCGTAATGGTAACATTTCAATTCATTTTGAGAAAGTAAGTCAGAATGGCAATTGAGAGAATTTTTATCCACCCATTTCTATGCCTTGAAAAGTGTTCCTAATTGTGTTTTTTATTTTCACTTCAACCTTTTTGAATCATTCTAATAAATATTACTGGATTTGTTAACGAATTTGCTTAACGGTACAAGTATAACACTTTGGCACTGTAGTGGTAGATTACAACTCCATTATGGATAAGATTTTATTTTGATAAATCACACAGTGTTGTTATACAGTATTATTAAATGATGACCAAGTTTCGAGCACAAATTATTACTGTCTAGCGGTTAGGATTCCTGGCTGTCACCCAGGCGGCCCGGGTTCGACTCTCGGCGCGGAAGCGCTTTGTGCGTCGGTGGTATAGCGGTTAGAACGCTCGCCGACCAAGCACTTGGTCCGGGGTTCAATCCTCGGCCACTGGACGCACTCCTTTACCTCGCTAAGCCGGTAGTGAGACTGGTGAAGCGGAAAGGTTGGCCATGAGGCTAGCAACCCCATCCTGTAAAATACACACTGCTACAGAAACTAAAAGCTACTAGCTTGAAGCCCTATGTCCCACTGGGAACGTGAAGGAAAAAAAAATAATCATATCAAGTCACTCACTTACACAACTTTCTTGCTTCATTTATACATATGAGTAAAATTGATTAGACATTTCAATAAGATGAATATAAGATAACATACATTCGGAAACAATATTAGTGTTATCAGTCCAGTACAATCAGATTGGAAATAAGATATCTTTATTGTCGAACATTCAAACCTACAAACTCATTCAGAGACAAGCTCTGTAGGCTAAAGGACCCTGTCGGATGACCCAATTAAACAAAATAATATAATTTGAAAAATGACTTGCATTCATTGTGAGTTAAGTGAACTACATTGTTATTATATTATTATTTCCTTTAATTCTTAGAGGAACATAGGGCTTCAGCTACACGTCTTCATTGTGTTCGGTTCTCTGCTAAAGTTTTTGCCTCGCTTCACGTCTGCCAACATGCTTTCATCTCCTCTTCACATGACCTCCTCCAAGTCACCCTTGCACTGACGACCAACTCGCCACTTCCATTTCGGGTTCCACTCGAATAATGACTTGTCTAGTGATGTCACTCACTTGATGGTTTTCTCAGGGTATGGCCAGCCAATCGAGCTTCATATCTTCCTGCCGCCAAATATGATATCGTGGAGTTTATGTACTTAGACGTGCACACGTAAGGTCTTTTTATAAGATAACTTCTTGTTCTACACAAGGAGACACAAGCTGAAAGTTGCGGGTTAGTAAAGTGGATTCCCACAGTCTGATAAAATGCCTCCAGCGGATTTGTTGGATAAAATGAAGTACCCGTCGTTAGTGACAATTTCAACGATATGGCTCAATGGATAGGATATCACTCATCCTACTGACAGTTTTCAGAGTTCTACGAATTATGACAATAGTCTTTTTTTACACAACCTAACTATAGGTGAAGAATAAAGAAGAATAAGTAGGATGCACGTGTTGACAAATAGTAAAAGGAGTGATCGTTTGAGTTATACCTGAGTGACTTACCTTCTAAATATAAAAGTCGCACTGTATATTTAGAAATCGCTGAGACATGGGAAAACCAGGAGAGGTCAAAAGAAAGAAATAATCCAAGATACTTAAAACTAGTCTCGATTTCCATATCAGTACCATCAATTCTACCGTGATCATAGGAATTAACCGCTTTATTTAACTTTCTTTTACATCAGAAACTGAAATTACTCTATCTTAACATAGCTTCTGGAGTCATATTTCTTGGAAAGGTGACAATATCACTCATAATAATAATAATAATAATAATAATTCAGAATAGTATAAATGGAAAATTCGATCTTGTTAGAGGGATGTAAGAATTATGAATGATGCAAATTAGAAAACAGCGTTTGATGACAAAAGGAATACCAAAAAAGAAATGTGAGCAAAATATTCCTTTGGAGGAAAGGAGTAATTATAGCTCAGTTTTGTCCACTTTGCGTATAACACATGAACGCTTTCTTTCTCGATAGAAAATGCTGGTTTTAGTCGACCATATTGGAAAAACTTGATGACATGCGCAAATTTCGGAGTGTAGTAAATATAACCAATCCTAAAGTCATGTTAGTGTCATTTAGGTGTCCACTGTCTACCACTGGAAAACATGCAAGGAGTACTGGACAGCTGTTTCGTCAACCTAGTTTGGGATTCTTCGTCAGTACGCACTCACTGAGCTTTGAACCCAGGACATTCTGGTTACAAGACCAGAGAGCGCGTAGACGATTGAGCCACTGGAACCCGATCCAATGGCCAGTCCGTGAATTGTGCCTTCTGCCAATTCATGACATAGCGTGACGATTTCGCAATGTCTTCTTCGATGAGTTACTGTCTACCACTGGTTTTCCAGTGGTTCTCTAATTGATGTCAGCTCATGATGAAATCCCCCATGCGATATACTGAACTATAGGAACAGATTTTCAGAGTATGATATCCTTTTTATTGATCTTGTTAGACGCTAGGACAGAATCTCTATAGGAGTATCTCTCTTGAATTTTAGATCCGATTAGTTTTGTCTTTACGAGTTGATCACGGATTGATATCAGTTGAAGAACCACTGAAAACCAGACAACATGGAGTACTGGACAGCCAGCTGTTTCATCAGACTAGTTTGTAAATCATCGGCACTACCCACTCACCTGACGCACAGGGCTCGAACTTAGGACATTCCGGTTACAAGGTCAGCTGGCTCGTATACAATTCAGCCACTGAGAGTCGATTCACTGGCCAGTCCATGAATTCTAACTTTTACCAAATCGTGATTTAGCGCGACTGGCACCGACCAATGTCATCGGTGGGACATCCACCTTCATACGTGACTGGATGGATCTCACTAGTCACAAATGCTCACTGGAACTGCAGAAAACTCCGTTCTCTAGCAAGTCAGTCACTAGCGACCATCAGATTAATTTTCTATTATTGGTTTGTGCGTCGGTCGCACAGTGGTTAGGACTCGCGCCGACCATACACATGGTCCGGGGTTCGAGCCCACGCCGACGCACACCTGATATCTATGGTCGGCCTGCGAAATTCGGGCTACCGATATCCATGCTGAAAATTCCATACCTGTACCAGAAATACAGTGTGGAATCAAGCTGTAATCAAAAATAAAAAAAATAAAAAAATAAAATTAATTTTGTTTTAACGAGTTGATTATGGATTGATATCAGTGAGAGAACCATTGACTTATATATTTGTAAATGTTATCAACTCTATTTTGGCTTTTATAATCATCCTTAGATATCCAAGTTTTCTTAAAATATAGCATAGAATCATAGAAGATCAATATCTATGAAATGTTTGATTGAAATAACTTTTATTCTAAGTGTTCACTATCTAACATAGAATAGAGATAAAAAATTTTGTCTATTGAGCTTATGTCTAAGTTCTAGATGAAAAGAATCTCTGATTAATCAATATTAAAGTAGGTCAAATCGAATGATAGTTTCAGTAGGTGTGGTGTTTACTTTTACCGGATAGGGGTTGTTAGCCAACCTCATGCAGAACCAGGCAATTCTGATTTTTGACTGCCTGCAAGAAAATCGTTGTTGAACGGTTCTTGTGGTGGACCGATATTTGATCCCACTCTGTCAGTCATCATCATCACTGAAATTTACATCTAATGGATTTGTTGGTGTCAGCTTGAGTCCAAAGCTAAAAGACATTCATTCGTATTGGCCAGTCTGTAGGATCTATTCATGAACAGCTACTTACGGTTCAGGAATACCACGTTTGCAGTATCTAGTAAGTTGCTGAACTTTGCGTGAAGTAAGTTATCTCATGTGGTGTATATAGCAAGAATCGGTATGCCGATGCATAAGATTGATTCAGCTGGCCCACCCGCAATTTACGCTGCACATATTACAGTGTTTACTACAAAACTGTGGTTTTGAAAAGTCACTAGTCACTAGAATAAAGTGATAAGAAAGAGGGAGAAATTTCCATGAGATACACAACGCATGACGTTCACCTGAAATCACACAAATATTTCTGCTCTCTGGCCATATGAATATCATACAACAAGGAAGCCTTTCATGCATTATTTTCATATATGATCTAGTGAGCATTGGTTATAATCAGTATTTAGAAGCTCTTGTGGTTTATGAAATCATCGAAATATTTACTGTCTATCACAACATGTTCAGAATCGCACTGGTATCGATAATTCAATAATAAACAGGAAGCGTTTCACCCTACCACTCCTCCTCTCTGAGATCGGACGGTTGATTTCCACTAATGCATTTTACAGAGAAACGGTGTCCAATGAAAGTTTCGTGTCATTATTGTTGTTTCTTCATGGTTGCATGCGAGTGATTCATCCAGATATCATTTCACATGATCATTCTGGATTTCTTTTCGTCTCTCCTGTTTGATTATTGCGTCTCTTTCATTTTCTTCCATTGCATTCATCTGAGATGATCTCCTCCTGGATATCGATCCGCTTATTCCATTCAGTGTTTCGACATCTCTTTATTCTAACGCGCGTTTTATTGCAAGTGTTATTGACTCAGAGAACAGTCATTCTTCTTTTTGCAGCACACTGCTCCACGATTTTGTTCAGTGTGTCTCAGATTAAATTGAGCTTCTCCTTTCCTTGTTCATCTCAGCACTGGTTCATTACCTGCTTGACCATTTCTATCTCCACTGTCACTTTCCAAGCCATTCCTTCTCTGGCGTCCCCATATTTCCTGTGATACCCATATATATCCCTTCCACATTTTTATCAGTAAGTTCTCGCCCTCATCCTACACAGTTACTCACCTTTACCACTCCCTCTTTACTAGTCTTATTACAGGCTTACTGAGTTAAAGAAGGAGGGCGTCCATGGCTGGAGATTGAACCCTGAACCACCACCATCACCTGTGTGGTTGGCAAGCATTATACCACTGGACCACTGAAGCACAACCTTTTTTCTTCACACACACACATACTACTATTATTAA